ATCCCCTAGATTTCTTAAAGGAAGTCGGCCCCTACCTGCCTTCAGCTTAATTCTTACCCCAGGGCTAAAGCCGATTTGCTTATTGTGAAATGTAAAGAACAGTTGGTATTAAATGAGGAATGTGTTACACTAAAATTCAAGTAAGGATGCCCTTAGTCTTAGGGTATCGGGGATTCGGTGTGGAAAATCCCCTACCATTAAGCTATTCTTTAACCCACGGGTAAACACTGTTTGCGTAGTCTGAGAAACAGAGTGCAGTTGGGAAATATAAAGGGGATGTTTCCTTACTCAGTTACTCCTTACCCCACGGCTAACGCGGTTGAGTTGTTCAAAAACTATATTAAAACCCTTCGCCTTTCTTCTAGGTACGGGCCACTCTTTTGGGCAGTGAAGGAAGTCAAGACTGGGGCTTTGTGGATCCAATCGACGCGGAACTAAGTAGCTTCAGAATTGATGTGATCAAAGAAGAAGACGAAGATGGAAACGATACGTTGAACAGCGAGAAAACGAACGGCGACAAATGCGAAAAGGACAGCGGAGTCGGAAGAACCGACGAGAGCACGAAAAATGACGAAAGCTCCGGACCCGACGTCGTAGAGGAAGCTCGGCCGTCGCAAAACTCTCGTAAAAATTCGCAGGAAAACGGCGACAAACGCTTAGTTAAGGACGATTCAAACACGCGCGAACGAAAGAGTAGTAGTTCCACGCGTGGTAAGGAGGACCGAGCGTTTTCTCCCATACGGTCGGGAGAAAACTGCTCTGGGAAATCTCGGGACAATTCATCACCGGGCGAGAAAGACTCTAGTCGAAATCACAAGGAGCGCTCTCCCGAAAACGGTCGTACACGCCGCCATAGCAGTGGATCTCCAACTAAAAGTCTTTCACCTACGCACAATGGAGGATCGCCTCCCAGAAAGGATAGAGACAAGGAAAAGAGTAAAGAACGGAAAAAGAACAGAGATTCACACAAAGACAATCATGAAACTCGCGGTGAACGAGATCGCAGTCGACACTCCGACCAGAAGCGTAACAGTAAACTAGGCAACGTAAGCAGGACAATTCGTGCGTCTTACATAAGAGCCGTGAACAAGGACTCGACTCAACACATCAATTTGATTGGCGAGTCGGATTGTTTCGGTGGAAGGGGTGATTATCACGACCATCGTAGCAAACAGAAGTCAAATCTCACTGACAATCAATCTCTAAACGGATCTCAACAGAACATTGAATGGAAAGTTCGAATGTCCAAAGACGGTAGTCAGATTTTTGTTCGCAAAAGGCCTGCCACTGCAGCGAGGCAGGCGAGGAATAAACTTCTGCGCGACCGTGCCCAAAAAATTACCGACGAACGCAAAGGCATGACAACTGATGACGACACACAAACCGTTTACCAAGGCCGTTACTGGCCGAGAGAGGACCGGAGACGACACTTAGAACGAGTGCGGGAAGCGCGCCGAAAGAAAATCCAAAAACTACAACAGCTGAAAGAATCCGAGAGCCCGCACACGGGCAGCGGTTCGGAGAGTGGCAAAGGACGCCGGGATATCATCGTTGAGATGAGTCACAGAAAAATGAACAGGAAGCAGTTTGATGACTTTACAACAGTTCGTGAATATCTAACTCAACGAAACCCCGACGGGTCCCCCGTTGGTCCGATTCACGTTACCACTGTGTGAAAAGTGACGTTTTAACACTTATATCGTCAAAGACAATTTTTTTTGTCGAACTTAAGTATTGACCTCAATGAGGCCAAAAGGTTATCTGATGTTTTATTTGTTTTATGTTGCGTACTTATTCAATTTCTGTAATAATTTCGGCTTGTATATCGTGAAATGTCCGACAATTGGGTGGGGTATTTCACGCAAAACTAGTGAGAAAGCACTGAATAGTTATTTTTCGTCCCGTGCCGAGTTTTTGGCGGGAAGTACGGTTCGAAGTGGCGGGAGCGAATGAGAGACAAAAAACCGCCAAAGATGCAACGAATTCCTCTCCTTTAGATTGGATTTTTTTATAAAATTATAGTTTCTACTTTCATGGGAAAAATTTCTTTGCAATTGTCCATCAATGATAGGAGTAGTGAATTCTTTAGCTTCTAGGCTGCAATTGAAAGTAATTTCCCATTTTAGTCATGGATAAAACGCAGCCTGATCGTTTTGTTTCTTAAAAAAACGATAAAACGGCAATGTTTGTTGCTCATGAAGCCACTAAAAAAATCAAACGTCGGTTAATATAGCTGTTGTGTTGCAAACTTGAAAGTTTTTATGGGGAGGGGGGATTCTTTATAAATTAGTTTACCGCCGTTCTGTTCTAAATTTTCAAATCTTCTATGAATATTTTTATTTGTTGCAGTTATGGAAAACGAACATTTTTATTAAACATTTATTTAACTTTTTTCAACATTGTCCGAAATCTTCTTCGGAGCCGTTACTTAGGCGGTTACGCAACACTTGTTAAAGGTCGCGTGACGGCCTTGAAGGAGAGTGTCGAGAGAATACATTGTTCGTTGTTAAGATTTATTGTTTATGTTATGTAAGGCTTGTAATTTACTGCCAAAAAGTTAAGCAGAAATTCCCGAATTGTATCTATGTATAAAGTAAAAGATGTAGTATTATTATAAGAAACAAATTTAATCAATTTAAAGAGCTATCTATGACATTTTTTTTTCTGTTTTCAAGCAACGAAGGAAAGAGTGACAAAGAATGGAAAACAAGTTTATCATAAGTTTATGGAACGAAATGCGAAAATGTATAGAAATACGACGCGAGAATAATTATGCGTTATCTTAACGCTCTGGGATGAGTATTTAAAAGACTTTTTTTTTATCAAAATGGCAGTCGAACCACTAGCAAACGCCAGTCGTGGAAACTGAAATTTAAGCTTATATATTTGTAAATATAATTATTTCCAGTCACTATTTTCTTTAAAAGGTGAAACTTAACGCCGCAAATTTGTTTTACAACTTATAAGCAGTGGCCGCCATTTTGAACAGCGGTTGTGATTTTTATAAGTTAATTCTTTGTCAGTCTAAATTCCTTCAACGTTTAACAAATTTAAAACGTAACCAACTTGGTGAAATCTGCAATTGTAAAGCCCTGAACTTAACAATGGCTGGACTCTTTTGCGCTTATTTCTTTGGGCAAAAATATTAGAACTAAATCTTGTAAATAAAAATTCGTCTTCGCTTGCTGAAGGAGCACGTAATGTTTTCAACGAAAAATAGAAATCGGCAATGAATTAGATTGACTACCGTTTAAGTCATTGCAGTTGTAAACAAGTCTGTGTCTCTCTGCCATAATATACTTCTGTCTCTTACGAACTGCTAAGTTTGGTTTTTCCATTTTAGAAATATATTAACGTCGTAAACTTTAAGACGTTAAAGTCCACTTAATTTTGGGACTTAACAGTATTCTTTGAAAATGTCATTAAAATCGAAAACCTGATTCTCTTGTGTCTTGTGCTTATAATATTGTTTACAGCAAGAAAGCTCTCGAGACCTTGTTTGCTTTTATAGTTGTAACGTTTATGTTACATGCTTCCAAGAAAGCTTTTTAATGGCTTTTTCGTTAGCGGAATACTAGGGGAGTGGAGGGGGGGCTGTCATAAAGAAAGTTCTCAACTTCCAGATCACAGAATTATTCGAATATTCGCGAAAGATCACCGAAAACAGGAAAGCCAAAACAGATTTGTCCAGTTCAATTTAGTCACCGATTCCGTGTGATCCTTTATAAAAAAAATGCATATGTCTTCACTCTAACAAGAAAATAATCGCTCTGGCTTTTTAAATCTTGCCTTCCGTCATCAATGAATTAAAATCATTTTGCTTCAGAGCTTATCGTTTTCAACAAAGCATTTCACTCAACGAACATTTTGCTGCTCTGAGAATATTTGAGTCGAAGTAGACAACAATATTGATATTTTCTATTGAGTATGATTTATTGCCGGAGGTCATCTTTGTGCTGTAAGTACTTCTTGTCTTGTGAAAATAACACATTCCAGCCTTTGATAGACTTGTTTGAGCACGATTTTATACGCTTCAAAGATTGGTAAAGTAAACAAGTGCAAAATTTAGCTGTATTCCGAATCTGAGTCAAGTATAATGCTAAGTCAATACCTTCAAAAAGTATTCGCTTGATTTTCTTCATCAGATTTAACTGTACAATGAGATTGCCTTTCGTGTGTGGGTTAAATATGTAATTAACTTAGCAGATAAATCAAGGTCAAGCCCTTGAACATTGATAAATTTACCGGACGGCAAGTGTTTCCAAGAGCCTTTGCCCTACGGCACAAATACAAATCTACGCCATAAAAAAATGATGTTGTCATGCTTTAATTACCTAAATAACCGCTTGCGATGGATTGTCCAAGTCTTCTCGTCCTCCAAGATACGTCGTAAGTTGCCAAACTCGTGTTGGCAAACTTCAAAAAGTTGGCAAACTCGTGCATTCATACGTCAAACTCGCGTTAAATTACTATTTCTCTTGTTTAGATTTATAATAGTGATACTCTGTAAATTCACTATAAATTCACATCACAATCTAATTCAAATCACTCAACAAAAGTGGATATAGTCGTGAATACAGAGCTTTGAATTGAAAAGAGTAATTTTTGAAGATCGACTATGATCAAAAACAGAACTCCATCGCCCTAGAACACAAACTTTACTTACCGCCTTTTAACCCCAGTTTCTCCGCTAGTTCTTCCATTTTCTTCTGCTTGTTTTTTATGTCTTTATACGCTCCAGACGAAACGTCCCACAGACCTAGACAATTTTGAACTTCCTCGATGAATTGAAAAGTTCCCTCACGTTCGTCTTCACGTCCGTCCGCCATTTTGTGAAGTGTCACGCAAATCACGTGAACAGAGCGCGTGTTTTTGATTGGTTGACAGTTACCAACACACGTTTGCCAATCGTTTACACGTCAGATACAAGTTTACTAACACGAGAAAGTTGGTGAAAAAGTTGGCGAGAATAGAGGCAAGTTCTATTTATCGCCAACAGTTTGCCAACGTGTTTGCCGACTGTATTTGTGCCGTTCACACACACCAACTTCAGTTTGCCAACACGAGTTTAAAGGAGTCAACAAGAGTCGTGCCAGTCTCTTGTGATAAGCCGCAAGAAGGCCTGGGAACAATCACATCAAACATGGCGGACAAACGGGCAAAAACAATACGCACCTTTCGGGGTTTTATTTTAGGACACTGATCAATTTGCAAGCACAGGATCGCGATGCTGGACACTTATACCTGGCAGGGAACCCTTTTAGCGGCAATCTGTGCATTACGACTTGCAGATTAAAAGAGTAAAAATGTGAAGTTCAAGGCGATGTCAATGGCTCTTCTAACAAAAGTTACAAAACGTGTTGTGCATGCGAGAAGCGCTGTTTCACCTCCGCT